TGTGTCCCTATTTAGGTAAGATGGATTAAAATGCACTTTGGCTTTGAGCATTACGTAAATCTACATCAGAGTACTGTGCTACTGATATTTACTCATAAACTAATCTGATAATGCAGAGCGGTGACTAAATTTGTACTGTAGGCAATAAACCAAAACATGCTTGCTCTCTTAAAACTTCCTGGTATAGTCAGTATTTTAGTAAATACAGTCAAACTCCAGTAATTGTAGGTGGCCGACAGCCCCCCCATGAAACTGTGTGTGTTTGCACTGAGATCTGTGTCATCTGCATGTTTACTGCGCACCACAAGTTTCACACCATGCAGAAAATAGACAAATTCTAATCAGCCTTTGTGTTGTCACAGTGGTTAGACACCGGCCATTAGATGCATCATAATGATGAATCCGAAAAGCCCACCTGATACATTATCGTATTATTCCCCTTGAAGCTTTTTTTACTATTATTTGCCTTTTTCTATTATTTTTATTTACTGCTGCAGTTTTTTTTGGTTCGACAAAAAAGAGTTTCAAAGTTCTGCGTCCCAGAACCATACAGAGATCTTCATCCTTGAGCAACCCAGTTACATGTACATCTGAGATTTTTTAATTGCATGATATATATTTACATAAAAGTACATTCACCAAAAATTAGCAGATGATCAGCTCCCTCGTACACGCACTATCCTGACATCTATCACAGTCCTCCATTTTGAATCCTACTTCATGTATTTGTGGGATTACACTAGGGATCAATTAATGTACCTGCAGTTCGAATCCCTAAGATGGAGTCTCCAAAGCCCGTTACCTGCATGCGGTTCCTGAGCTTCTGTGCAACAGGAACATGGAACGCATCGGCTTTGAAGCTCCAACGGGAGCAGTAGTAGAACGATAGACACCCACACTAGATGTATGTTCCACCCACGGTACGATTACAAGGACCAGTAATATGCTCGAAATAAAACACATGCATGAGAATTTCTAGTGCTTAACACGTTCACCTTTCACTGTCCTTAAATGCTTCGTACATGACAATTTTGCAATATAGCAAATAAACAATCTCAGGCATGTGACTTCCAATATTCCTTGGAACTTGAGTGCACACAGGCCTGCCATGCCATTGTGTAACAGGCAGTTACTCTGATGTGGTAATTACATAACAAAGCATAAAGTAACAGTGAGTTATGTTGTGTTATATTTATTCCGCTGATGCTTTTGTCGAAGCGATTTTCAAGTTCAGATCAGAGAGTGGGGTCAGGCAGCAGCTGGGGTTAAGGGCCTCGCTCAAGGGCCCAACTGTGAAACGATTACTCAGCCGAGCATGACATTTGAACTCACGACCTTCCACGCATGGGCATAGATCCCAGACCTGCCCTTGCGCTGGAGTGCGCAAGGAGTGCGCTCTCATTCGTCTGTTTCCTTTTTTTTTTGTTTTGTTTTCTACCTGCTACCTTACAGAAATGTGTTTTTATAATGAGTTATTAAAGGAGAGCTGAGCGTGAGTTGCGTGGTGTGGGGGGAGTCAGTAGAAGTTTAGGTAGGGGCAGCCTGGCAGGGTTTAAACGGCAGGGCTGATGAGAAACACCCGCCCACACACCTCTGGTTTGCAGTGCTGGGCCGCCATCACTGCTGTCTGTTAGGCCTCCTTTCCCAGCATGCCCTGCACCTCCGGACCTCAGGCCACCTTCAGTGAGTGACCGTAACAATAGCCGGGCTCGGTGCTGAGAAAACACACACAGACGGGTGGGCGGAGGGGGTGAGGAATCATCCCTGGCAGTTTCCATTTTCTTTTTCCTGTTGACTTCGGCAAATTGATGGCCTGGATGGAAATCCCCCAACCCCGCCCCCCCCGGCCCCCCCACTCCGTCTTCACTTCCCCCACACACATCTTCCAGCCAAAGCAGACAGCCGATCACATGACCCCAGAGCGCCTAGGGTAGGGGACCTCGCGTAGATATGCAGGTATCCCGCCCATGACCAGCCGCTTCCCAGCATGACTTGGAATGGCCGGACAGCAGATCCAACCCCAACCGATCAGGATCATTTCCAAAACATCTGGATTGCACCAAGAAACACAACGAGGCACCAGACTAGGAAATCCCCCCCCCCTCACAGTAAGGAATGGTTTTGGTTTAGGGCAGCGGGGGAGGGGCCTTGTTATAAATAGAAGCATGGCAGTTGGCGATCTCCCTAGAGTGAAAAAAAGCAAGAAAAAGACTAGGGGAATATTATGAAACTGCAGAGGATCAGACAGAACATCAGGACATTATGCTTTTTAAGTGCATCAGTTTATTGTGGAGGGTCTCCCCCCCGCGTCGCCCCATGTGGGTGGGTCTGCAGTGGTGCCGGATCTGCTTG